AGCTCTGTCCCAAATCCAGGTGTGATTCAGAATATCAGTAGCCCTTCCATTACTCACCCTCCATCTAACACAGCAAGATAAATTGTTTGCTCCATCACAAATGAGTTTTAACACAGAGGAATCCCCACGTCTAAACTCATCCACCCATGGCCAATTCCCATACTTCAGCTCCATACATCTACGAAATAAGCTTTGCGGTTTGCTGATAAACTCCCATGCAATCCGAGATCTTAAGGGTCCAACCCATTTAGAATTTGCATGAAACCCAAGTCCCCCCATCCTCCTTGGCTTAGAAATAGTATCCCATGAAGCATAGTGGATGCTTTTATGATTCTCATCAATATCCCAGAGAAAACTCCTACAAATTTTCTCAATATCATTTAAGATAGATCTCGGCACCATAGAATTAGTTACTACATAAACTGAAGAATGCAACAAAACCGAATTTATCAAAGTAACCCGTCCAGCCAACGATAAATGCCTAATGCCCCATGTCAATGTCTTGGCCCGAGCCTGCTGTACCAAAGGAGCAAAGTCCTTTCTTGTGAGTCTTCTCAAAGCAAACTTAAGTCCCAAGTACTCCAACTCCTCCACTTTCCTGCATCCTGTGATTTTTGCAAGGCGAGATTTTGTAGAAGAGGAGGTCGATTTATTGAATAGTATCGCAGATTTACTTCTATTAACCTTTTGTCCAGTCCAAGAACAATAGTCCTCCAAAATAGACGTCACTTTCTTCACATTTGGAATAGATGTACCTGCAAAAATCAAAATATCGTCAGCATATAATAGGTGAGAGACCAGAGGTCCCCCCTACTAACTGGAACTCCCAACTCCTTGAAGTTCTGGTGGAAATGGGCAGATAGCAGCTCCGAGCAAAGAATGAACAAGTAGGGTGATAATGGACACCCCTAACGGAATCCACAGTCAGCTAATATCCCTTCAGACAATTGCCCATTGATAAGAATAGAGAACTTCAGATTTGTAACACAATTAAGCACCCATGAGCTGAATCTAGGAGGGAACCCCATATTCCTCAAAACAA